AGTCTGCCTATGTACTTTGCTTTGAAAACAAATGTTCAGTTACAATTCTAGTCGCCAATCAGTATGCTGAATCCCTGTTCAAAGTTTATATGTGTTGACCAAAACAGAAGTAGTTCCTTTACTGTGGTTTCTGATCTTCAGATGCAAGACAGGGCATGCATTTTAGCATGTGTAAATATTTACAAATGCATATCTGTGTGTACAGGCAGACTTTGATTTTGGTGTTTCCATCAGCATTTGGAAGACCATTGTTTTGAAGACTTGATTTTTAGAGATTATGAAGTGAGGTAGCATCCACGATGAACTTGTCCTCTGGGCTCCTCCTGGAAGGTGTTACCCTGCATTGGTCGCCTGCCTCTGGCTATAAGAAGCTTGGAGCAGATCATTACTGTAATCCCAAAGTAGAAATTGAATAGTGTATTTTCAGATGTGTAATCTGTGGGTTGTCTGTCAAAAAAAGCTCAGCAGTAATGTGAGTTGTGTCTGCTCTGACAACCAGCAGGTCCTGTCCACGCTGGTGGCCGTCCCCCAACTGCATCTCTCACCATCTGATCCCTCTGCCCAGTGCCTCCCCCCTTCTCCTACCCCTCATTTTTTGCATGTTATGAAGGATTACATTTCAATGCCAGTGTTTTTTAAAGGGTATGGGTTATCTGAGGTGCAGGCTGTACGTGCAAAGATATGATAACTGTAGCACAGTAGATGGCCCAAGCAGGGTTGGCTGCAAAAGCTCTCTGCTTATGGTTAATCTTTTGGTATTTTCAGCTGTGCACCAAAGACTAATCAGTCACGGGGGGCATCAAGAGAGTTTGGATTATCGCAGGGGCTATTTCAAATGAGGAAATTTGTGCACCAGGCACAAGGGACAGGTGCGTGATTCTCCTGCAGGAGAAGAGCCCTTGAGGTGCTCCTGGCCATACCAGGGAGCAGATGCTTGAGAAGTGCAAAGAGCCCACGCTTGCTCCCTTGTTCTGTTTTTCCACATTTTACCAGCATCGATTTGACAATCGATAACTTCAGCCACAGTTAACTAGGGTTTGTACCAGTGTATGTGAGAGCAGACCCCGGGCCTGGCCCACTCTGGATCCTTTCTCCCTTTGCTTTTGGGTCAGGCTGTAGCTGTTTGGCTGGACTCAGCCTAGTAGCACACTGTAAACAGCAGGCTTCTCCACTGCTTTTTATTTATCCATATCAAGTTCATCAGATGAAGCCAGAGCTTCCTGGGGCCATCCGAAGCTTCCTGGAGGGGGTACTCTCGTGGGCAGATGTGGCTCCTGGAAGGCAGACGTGTGTCTCCGGGAGGCAGACATGCGTCTCAGACTTGGATGGCTCCTTTTGGACTATGTGGTTCTAAGAGCATTTTCTTACAATATATTTCCTTGGGGGAATCAGATGGACTTAGATCTCGGATACCATCCCCACTAAGTGATACAGTAAAAATAACCTATTATTCTCTGGTTCTGACCTGGGCGGTGACAACATATTGTTTCAGCATCTCTGTCAGACTATTTCCCTTAAGAGCCATTTTAACCTCACCCAGTGGGACATAACTAAAGGAAATGAAACTCCAACCCCATTAAGGAAAAAGACAATGCCTTTCACTAAACAAACTTGATTTTCTTGGCTTTTCTTTGCCAAGGAGAATCGCCCGTACCCCCCACCCTTGCAGCCTTTGTAGACAGTTCCTGTAATTGGGAATGGCTGGGTGGACACCAATGGTTGGCAGCAAAGGGGGATAAATCCGACATCCCTTGAACGTGACATGGGCTGGGACCGCAGTCCCAGGTGGCCGCTTAGCGTCAATTCCTATGGTATTGGTCAACGGTACGTGCCTGCCAGCCACAGCTGCCGGCCCTCGAAACACCATCGGGATTTTAGCAAGACTAGATAAGAGATACACAGTAAAACTGGGCTGTTACTAATTTTGTGCAAGCATTGGATAGGCACTGTACCGTGCCCCACTAGCTAGAGCTGGTGACTTGCAACAAAGTTGTGGTGGTCCATCTCCTGGCACCCATACGGTGAGACAGCCACCCCAAAAGCAAGCGTGACCTTGAGGATTTGTCATTTGTGGGCTAAGGGAAAGATCACCATCCAACTTCACGCTCCAGCTGAGGCTGAAACAAAATTTACATTTGGGGTGTCTTAAGACAAAGTAGAAATCCCTTTTTAAAATGCAGTCCCACACAGTTACGAAGTAGGACTCTGAAAAAGCACCATTTCACACTGTGTGTGGGGGTAATTAGGACAAACCACAGGGTGATCACCTTGTCCCAGGGAGAGTTAGGGTTTACAGAATGCAATCAATTGGTCAGGCTTGCAAATTCTGGGTAGAACTGAGTAACACCTGGGTCAACGTAAATCCACAGGCAAGAAGATTAGAGCTGGCAGAAAAATAAAGAACTCTGTGTCGCAAGATAAAAGTAGATTGCAAAAAATTGCAATCCTGGAGGAGTTTTTAATTTCAGAGGTGGCTAATGTCCGTAGGTCCCCTCATTTTTTTTACATAAATGTTCCCCACATGCCCAGTGTTCTGTTTCGGGGTATTTCCAGTATCAGTCCCCATGGGGAGCAGTTAAGCTCCTATTTCAAACCCTAATCCTGTAAGGATCTATAAATGTGTTTATCTCTGTGCCCTGTTAAGCAGGTTTATGGCTGTCCCAGAAGTTCATCGAAAAACTGTCAGAAAAACAAGAGCGTACCCTAAACACTAGGTGTGAGTTACTCTCTCTTTTGCATGCTTTCTTCCTCTGTTGATGGGTATTTCAGTCACCCCTGTGAAGAACAGCTTCCATGAGAGACAGTCCGAATGCCCTCCATTCCTCAGCCCAGAATAGCCTGTTGCCTGATGGTTATGACATTCTCCTGCAAGACGAAAGATAGGGATTCAAGCAACACAGATAGCAAAAGAAAGTGAAATTGGGCTTTCTCCATGCCCAGTTGCTGTTGCAGTGAGAGCAGGACATCAGCCACCTTGTAGGTAATCTCTTTGAAGAAAAGCAGTTGTACCTACTTATTTCTCTTTCTGCCCCAAGAGATGACTCCAGGGGATGACACAGGGTGGTACCTGTTTGGGGCTTGGAGTGAGATGCGGATGTCCCAGGGAGGTTAAGGTTACTGTGAATCCCTCTTGGAGGCACCTCCATTAATCTCCATGCACAATACTAGGAACTCGAGTTAGCTATTTTGAATTAATTCCCTGAAGCAACTAGGTGCCTAAAGGCTGTCGTAGAGCTGGCCCTACCATTTTTATTCAGTTACCACACTACTTTATCTCATACCATGTCTCTAACAGCAACCAATAGGAGATATTTTAGAGTAATATGTGTCCTGCCCTCATGCCCCTACAGTGGGTGGTGATGATCTATCACCTTGTGATTAACTTTCTCCTTCTATGAGCTCTCTCTGCTGTTGACAAGGAGGTATTGCAGTTGCTCATACCACCTCTGTGCGGTCAGCAGCGGCCTTTTTTAAAAAACAGTAGAAAGTCATAATGGTTAGCACTGTGAAGATTAAAGTCCCTTTTTAGATTATGGCCTGATAGGCAACTGCTGTCACATAACTGTATTGCAAAGGCCACCAATATGTCAGTGGGGTGAATATCGAACAGCTGTGGTTTGCAAAAATGTTAGCCTTCTGAAACTTTCCGTAGTGGATGGAAAGATTTACAGGTACAGTGATGCATATCTATCTCAAAATCATGTTCGGATTAAAAACTTCCTGCAGAGCTAATGTCAACTCAGTTTCAGGTCACTGCCACAGGCTAAATCAGGTTAGAGATCAAAACCAGCAAGCATGTACAAGGGAGGCTTGCAGCTATCAAATGGGATAATCTGTAGCATGAGTTTTTTATGACCGTGCACTCATGACATGTATAAGCAGGGAATGGCTGTAATCTGGAATAAACTTGCCGGTTTGCCTGGTTCTGGTGAAAATTTCACGTGCTTTCAGTATCAAAACACTATGCAAAAATAACTGGTCAGATCCAGCTAAAGTCACTTAAGTTATGTGGGGAATGACTTGGCCCCATATGCCTGAGATGTGAGTTAACATAAAAGCTACAAGTTATTCCTAAATTGTTTTCCTTAGGAAATCCTGGATAAAAGGGCATTTGTTAGAGTAATTCTCTGTTATTATTTTTACACAATCTATGATTTTTCAACATCATAAATTATATACATAAATTGTAAGACCAGCTATGATTTAATATGCTTTGGGTTTTGCATCAGGTGACTCATGCCACTGACTTTTTTTATTAACTAAGGACCCATCATTCTTGGCAAACTGTTCAATTGCATAGGTGTGTATAAGACAATAATTGAATATAAAGGTTTATTTTTGTCCTTTTATTGATGTCAAGGGAAAATAGTGCAGTTATGAAAATGGAATAAACTGAAAAGATTCCTTCAGTTCCTGCAGGTTGATTAGAACAAATGACTTTCCATTCCAGTTTTTATGAATGTATAGTTTTCTGAAAGCTTTATAATACTTCAGGGAAAGGAAATTGCAGGCAATAAATGATACAGGATGGTTCAGGTTATTGGGAAATAGAGGAATGGGTTTTATCTGGAAAGGTGAGATTTACTGTTCTGCTGTATTTCACTTAAATGTTTGAGAAGGAATCAGATGCAGTGATTTGTACCTTATTATGAGCATGAAAACAGCATGAGACGCTTGCTCAGTAACACCATTTGCTGATGCTGATGCAGTGTGCAGTCTTTACACACCTTTTGTCTGCAGCCAGCAGGTAGGCAGCAGTGTCAAACCTTTGCTGTCCCTTGCACTGCTTTGGCTGCAAAGAGGTGACGGCAGAGGCCGGGGGGGTTTGTCTCTCCTCGTCAGTAAAGGCAGCAGATGTATTTTCATATCTTGGCTTGGTAAACAGCACTGGTTTTTATGGAACTGAGTTTGGTTAAACGGTTCTTGCATGTTAGAGAGCTCTACCAGTAAAGGCTGTTTAATAAACCCAGGGTATTTTTTTTTTCCCTATGTAGAAAGCAGAAATATGGCAACAAAGGAGAAGCTTCAGTGCTTGAAAGATTTCCACAAGGACATCCTCAAACCTTCCCCCGGCAAGAGCCCGGGGACGCGGCCTGAGGATGAGGCAGAAGGAAAGCCGCCCCAGCGGGAGAAGTGGGCGAGCAAGATTGACTTTCTGCTGTCCGTGGCTGGTGGATTTATTGGTTTAGGCAATGTCTGGCGGTTTCCGTATCTCTGCTACAAAAATGGCGGAGGTGAGTATTTATTTCATTCTCATGAATCAATCTGTCTGCCTCACGCTTAGTGTTTTTCAGTGCCTTCATCCAATTTTTAAAAAGAATAATCAACCATCTGTTTTCTGGTTGCTTCATCAGTCTTTGGGAGAGATTGTTTTATTGTTTAATAGTTTTTGTTGAAACTTAATTAGCGAAAAACAACAGCAATTTAAAATTTTATACTGTTGAACCTTTTCTGCTCTTCTACTACAACTGAGTCTGAGTTTTAACCAAAAGGCATACTATTGATATAGATCAGTAGGGTTTCAGACCAGTGGATTTCAGAATAAGAGCATTCTAAGCCATGTGAAACTGTTGTGTGCCTAACACTATTGTTATTGCAGATTTTTACCTGAAAAAGGTAAGAAGATGCCCTTTCCAGCTTCATGTACCCATTCCACTTACAGAGTTCGAATATGAGCAAAAATACCCCAGAATAACATTATTCTATACTGATATTAAAGTATCAAATATGTTTCTTTGTTTATATATGTTAACACTTTTTAGAGTATCTTGTGTAAAGTCACTCCATCTCAATTTTGTACTATTATATTTTCTCAACAGGTGCATTTCTTATACCTTATTTCATTTTCCTGTTTGGGGGAGGTCTTCCCGTGTTTTTCCTGGAGGTGGTGCTAGGACAGTATACCTCTGAAGGTGGAATTACATGCTGGGAAAAGATCTGCCCTATTTTCACTGGTTAGTACATCTTGTTGTGCTTTACTGCTTGAAGACGCCTCTGTAAACCATATGCAGCAACACTGTTCCCCTCATGTCCGTTAATTCAGCTATTTGCTGTAGTAATTAAGGGACTGATATTGGTTCCTGGAAAGGTAGAAGTCAGAGAGTCTGAAGGACAAACTGAGGTATTGATTTTGATGCTATGATCTTGTTAACTGGCAGAACTGCTGACAGCCTGCCTCACCATGGTCTTCACCACGGGCTGCCGGGGAATCTCTGCTCCCGTGCCTGGAGCACCTCCTCCCCTCCTTCTTCACTGGCCTTGGTGTCTGCAGAGTCATTCCTCCCACATATTCTCACTCCTCAGTCCAGCTGCAGTTTGTGTTCCTGCTGGGTTTTTTTCCCCGTTCTTAATTATGTTATCCCAGAGGTGCTACCACCGTCGCTGATGGGCTCAGCCTTGGTCAGTGGTGGGTCCATCTTGGAGCCAGCTGGCATTGGCTCTGTCCAACATAGGGGAAGCTTCTAGTAGCCTCTCACAGAAGCCACCCCTGTAGCCCCCCCTGCTACCCTAACTTTGCCATACAAACCCAATCCACCCAGACAGCATTTTGTGGTAGGATTCAGGAATGGGACTTTTGTCATAACTGAGCAGGTCCTGGCAAACAGGCATGTTGGTCTGGTGTTATTCAAGGGCCTTTGCCAGTGAATGAAGAATCACTCACCACTCACAGGAACTATGCGAATGCCGCTATGGAAGTTAACTAGAATGAAAAATGAAAGACAGGTTAGAAAAATTACTGAGGATGTCTGTCTTATCTATAGATTACCCTTTACAGCCGGACAGCACAGGCAGAATCATTTGGAATAATGACACTAAACAAAGGGATACTCTTCAAATCACATTTGGCAAGAGTGGGTACTTCATGGTGACATGCCTCTAGCTCTGCCACTGGCGCTGGTCCAGGTACCTCTCTCCCCTTGTGTCACCTCAGGCAGCAGTGAGGGCTTTCTCCATGGCTCACACTCCCACCTAATACTCAGAATGCTGCTGAAGTTGATATAGTTGTGCTGCTTTAGCTCCATTTTCTTCCTCCTCCTCCCACTTTTATGAAGCCCTTTTTTTTTTTTCTTTGAGGAGAAGGAAGGAATGTTCCTTGTTTAAATAACAATCTCCCAGGCATCCATAAAGAGAAATTGTAGCTCTAATAATGTGACTAGCTGTATATCCAGAATGAAGTGCAGCTGTACAGAATAAATAGCACTTGCTCTGGTTGTTTTCAGCTGCATAAAAATAATCTCTGGTGGTAAAGAGTCCTGTTGCAATAAGGTTTGAAAACGTAAAATATGAGGCAGATATCCCAGGTGCTGGGGTAGCCATCAGAGCGATGTTAAAGGGAACCTCTTAGGCTTTTTGTCCTCTTGTGAGAGACTGCTCTAAGTTTTTAAAGGAAATCTCTTTTCCCCCTGTTATTCCTAAATGGCAAACTTTGTAAGCTTTTTGGAGCTATAAGATTTTCAGTAAAGAGGACTTTTCACAGTCCTTTCATTTTGTATTTAAAAAAATAGTGACTGCTTCTGACTTAAGACATAGTATGCATCTGCTGGTTGAGCCAAACTGCCGAGAGATACCAGACTCAGGAGAACAGTTGTGGTATTTAATTAAAGCCTTCACCGGAACAGCATTCCGCCACCTCCTGAAGTTGTGTAGGACTCGCCCTTATCGGCCCATGACCCTGCTTATAAAAACTAACAGGGAACATTTTTTATCGTCAAATATTGATAGCAGAGTTAAACATTGATCTAATTAACCATAACAGCTACAAATATCATGCTTCCTTTGTACAAGTGAAATTGAGGCAGAAACAGCAGCTTTCACACTGATAGCTCTGGAATTTTCCTTTTTAACTCATTCAAGAACTGTCTTTTTTTCTTGTACTCACAGGCTGAGCTGAGACAGTCGATAAGTATGAGTGGTGCAGGGGCTGCCCAGCTGAGCTGCCTCCAAGGAAGCTGGCTTGAGGGACAGTGTGGTGAGGATGATGTTGTCCAAGTAGGTACCTAAGATGCAAGATGGCATAGCTCCCAAATAAGCAAAGCGTGATGCCCTGATTTTCTTTTAATAAAACTTGAAATAGCCAGGTTAGTGTTAAATTGGTAGGTGTCCTGCAGACCTCCCGTCCAATGTCAGCAAACCACAGCCAGAAAGTCAACCCTGAGTGCCCATGCTAGTCAGAGATGGTGGCAGGTCTGTACTTACATGTGGTCAAGTTGAGTTGAGCTTCGAATGGTGGTGTGGTAGAGCGGGATACAAGTCCACAACGCAGCGGGAATAGCACCAGCTCCACGAGATCACAAGGCGCCCTGGCAAGAAACGGCTGTCACGTCTGCACATATTTTTTTTTCTCTCCCTCTCTCACCAGGAATTGGTTATGCTTCCATAGTGATTGTGTCCCTTCTGAATGTGTACTACATCGTGATCCTGGCCTGGGGACTCTACTACCTGTTCCAATCATTCCAGAGCGTCCTGCCATGGGCGCACTGCCACCAGAAGTGGAACACGCCGACCTGTGTGGAAGACACTCTCAGGAAGAACAAAACACTCTGGATATCACTGAATGCCACTAACTTCACCTCTCCTGTCACGGAGTTTTGGGAGTAAGTACCCCCTCTTCGTGGTGCCTTTGGGGTGCTTCAGGTAGCATACCAGAGGTCTGGCCTCAGATTTTATGGAAGCCCCATGGGAAATGTTAGATAGGAAAAGAAAACTGCTCTGGATGTCAGTTGTTTGACCAATGTTTGCTACTGGTTCTCACCCATCCTGAGACAGACTGGTCAGTCTGGGAGCAGTGGAGGAAGGCATTAGATGTATAATTGCATTCATCCTAGAGTGTACAGGGAGCCCTAAAAACCCAGTGTAATTTCTGGTTTAGAAGAAAACTTGTTCTCTTCTTGGTTGGGATTCTTTAAATGCAGCATGAGAACAGAAACAAGTCACTTCAGATGCCCTGATAGCATGGATTTACGATGGAAACAGTGACAAATCACCCCCATCGTGGTTGCCCTTCCCTCTTCCCCAGCTGTTAGCATTTGCAGTACACTTTGTGAAGCTATAACACATCTCTTATCAGTCTGACAACGAAGTAGGGCATTGACCTCACCAATAAAATTGACAGAGGTGGCGAACATTGCCCTGTTTGTAGCTTTCTGAGGTCATCTTTGCTACATCATTTTTCTCTGTAGTCTCTGAGGAGACTCTGTTTTGCCAGATGCCTGGATTTCATCACGCCTAAGCTTCTTATTCCCACTTCTCCCTTATTTTTCAAGTTTTAAATTATATCGCATAACCTGATTTCTGAACAGGCATGACCTCAAATCTGTGGGTGTTTATACAGACGTCAAAACGTAGCAGCAGAGGAAGACACCTGGAGGGAAACTTAAATCCAAAGGATCTACAAATAGCTTAGGAGAAAATTTTTTTTTCTTGGCTTGCTCAGATGATCAATTAAGAGTAGAATTCATTTCTGATCCAGCTTGGCTTTTTCAGTATGTTTAAAGTCCTGTTCAGTCCCTGATCAACTTGTACCTACTTCTCTATTTTTAAAAAGAAGTGTCAGCCAATAGGCCCAGCAGTAATGATGTTCATGCCAAAGATATTTGGCATGTGTTAGGCTTAGAAAAAAATACTCTTATGAACTGTGCTAAAATTTGTAACACAAGAGCCAAAATACAAAGGGCAGATTGGATCTTGGATGAACCGTTTGTCAAGAGGCAACAGTGACTGGTGTGAGAGTTGGGGTGCAGGCTGTAAGGGCAGTCATTTTCATCGTGCCATGAGCACTGCATTTCCATGTTGAGCAACAGATACTTACCTCCCTTGTGAGGTGACTTCCTCCCTTGTAAATTTGGAGGGAGTTGGAAAAAGGTTTGTTAAATGATACCTTTGGATATTTTAGGGGGAACTCAGGGGCAAGTTGCAGTAGAAGAGGAGTCCGTTCCTTTGGACTCTCCCACAATGACTTTGGGACTGAGGGCCTTGAATCCAAATGAGTGGCTGACTTGGTAGGATGTTCAAAGGTCTCCTCAAGGCCTCCCTAAGAAGCACAGGTCCACAGTGCTGCCCCTGAAATAAAGTTACTCTCCCAGGACTTCAAAAGCACTGTGTTCACCTCCAGTTTTATGCAGTAATTTGCTTGCAGGTCCTCTTGTACCTGAGGGCAACCATGAGCTTAGCAGTCTCCTGATGTGGCCATGGGGTTATCCTGCTGCTCCAGAAGCTTCTACTCCTGTAATGCACAGATTTACCGGCCAGGCTTTCTCCCTGGGGCCCCAGGTGGCATGTCGGCTGCAGGAGACTAAAGATACTGTAGCAGAAGGAAATAGGGCTGGGAGTTAAAAATGGGTTGTAAAAGAAAGAGTGGGGGGTCCAGGACCTCAGGGGACACAAGAGCTTTCCATAGGTGAAGGGCCAGCGTCTCCGTGGGTTGGGGGAATGATGTCCCCATGGGAGTAAATTAGGGGTGGAGCTTTTAGTTAAGTTTCCTCTAAAAGAGACCAAGTTTCTGTCCTCAAAACTCCCCTGCAAGCTGAACCAAATCCTGTTGTAGACACAGCCTAACAGATGTAGTCGGGCTGGAGGTGCCCGAGGCTGGAGGACAAATCCCTGATCCTCACAGCACTTTCCCCTTCCCTCCGTCCTCCCGTCACTGTTTCTGTAGCACAGCCGGAGCAAAGGTTGCTCAGTGATTAGCGCTCACGGAGGCGACTCTCCTTGCACTTTGCAGCCACTTTAACTTTTGTCCTCAAATAACAGTTTTAAACATTGTGAACTGAACTCTTCCCTGGAGTCATGCTAGGGAGGAGTTTGGCTCCGTAATCCTACTAATACAGGCCTACTGTCCATAGCTTACTGTTTCATCATGAGCAAAACTGCCCTTAACAGACCAAGCTGCCTTCGGGACTCATGGCACTTACAGAAGTATTAAAAATAGCTGTTCTCTCTGCATAAACAACTATTGGTGTCTTAAAGTAAGGACAGAGATCACACAACACTGTTGTTATTAAAGTCACATAGCTTTCACATGGTGCAAGCATTTAGTATCCCCAGTTTTTTTCCCAGCCATGCTACTGTTCTTTATAGTTCTGAAATTAAAAAGAACTTTCAGGTACTTTGCCATCATAGACAATGCCAGCTGCCAGGCAGCCAGCTACCCGTATCAAAAGGACAAGTCAATAAATAGTCTTTAACTGAAGACATCCATCTGCTTTGAGGCACAATTAATTCTGATTTAATTCAGGGGTTTGTGAGTATTTGGTTTCTGAAACCCAATGCCATTTTTATTGTGGGACATTTATGTAGTGTCCTCATCCGTATTGCTTTGTAAAACTAACGCTGCCCAGATATAATTGACCACATTGATGCATTAACCTCTTCGCGTTAAATAACACGTGTCCTTCTCAGCCTGGCTGGACGTATAGTACAGCCTGACATTTCAGTTCATTTGAATTAATGTTCTGTGCAAATCACATGCTTGCTTGAGCAGCAATAAAAGGGGGTTAAGCAAATCTGGCTTTGTATCAGGAGACTTACCTCTTGATATCACATGCTTCAGGTCTTATTTCTGAAGATTTTATTTTAAATTCCAAAACCTTAAAGGCTTACACACGTATTAATACATAAGGGATAAGTGTTATGGGGTAATTACGGTTGAACAAAACCTCCGATTGTCTGGTGCTGGCCAAGTGTCTATAAATATTTGGTAATCAGCAGACTTTATTCGTCCAAATCCCAAGAAAGACCATCACATGCTAATGGCATGTAATCCTGAAGGGAGCAACACAAAAACTAAACAAAATCTAGGGCAGCTGTCTCTGCCTTTGGGGGCAAACTTGAGAGTTTTAAAAATTGTTTCATATCTCCTTCTAAGTTTTCTGGTACAACTGCTTCAGTGTTAGTTATTCTTGTCCATCCAACATGAAAGCATGCTTTGCTGGTATGAAAGGTCCTGTCTGCATTCAGTTGATTAACGAGTTGGAATATTCTGCAAGGATTGCATAACTCTCCTCATTTTATTTTTGTTTATGTTCTAGAGTCAGTTACAGCTCCTGTTACATTTCCATACTGCACATCACTAGGACATACTAGTGCACGAACAAGGTTCAAGAACTCGTGTTTACAACAAACTCAGCCTCAGCCTGTTGTCCCATTGATTATATATGAGTGACAGTTAATGACAGCATCAAGACTGTAAATTAGAATTAGTAATTCCTGCATAAGTGGCATGAAGTTAGTTGAGTGGGCTTGGCTGAATCTAAGCAGCAGTGGGTTGTGTAACAAAATTGAAGAGCTATCAGCACAGCCCGACTTGTGCTCCTTCCTGAACTTGAATTTTCAGGGTATCGCAAATCCAGGTTGAGTGCTTCTGCTGCAAAAATATGTGGGGTTAGATGTCATGAAACAATTTTAATGCTGTGGCTCCCCTGGTAATTCTGAGTGGATTCCTTGAGGTAGTCAGTCTTTGTCAGACGAGATAACTCAGGACGGAGAAAGCCAGCACATCGCTTGCGGCGCTTGCTGCCTCACCATAGAAAAGTAACGTACCTGGCTCTCAGTAACCTACTGGGTTGTCCTCCAGCAATGCTTGAAAGGGTTGCTGGGGCAAACTGTAGGTGAGATGACCATTTGCTTTTAGTTCCCTAATAAAAAGCGAAGAAGCCTTAGCTGAATGCATTCATAGAGCTCCCTACTCCAAAACGCATTTACAGTTAATTATTCATGGCTTCCTGAGAGCTAGCTCTATAGGTTGCCTTTTAAATATGAACTGCCCCTTAGATTAGAAAATTGCCATTTATTTTTAAAAAAGCCACAGAAGGTAGTGGCTGAAGTTTGTTGTCTTATAAATGTATTTTCTTCTTTTGTATACGCACAGCGGGTTTTTCCCTGGTTTATTTAGGCTCAGGTGAACCAGGACTGCAACTTTATGCCAAATATTCATTACCGAGGGGTTTCTTGTAACTGCTGAATAGCTGTGCTGATTAGGGCAGACTTACCCTGTCTGGCGCCGTTACTCCTTTTCCATAACAAAATACACACACGTTCAGAGAGAATAAAGCATTTGGTGTGAGAACACATTCACACAGGTAATCCAAGTGAATTTGGCAAACAGAGACACAAAAACAGATGGATGAGGGTTTGAGTCCTATTAAACTGGTCAATCCAGGGTTTTTATCCAAAAACTAATTGCAAATTTTCCATTGGTGACTTCATTCGCTATTATTTCCTTGGTAGTAGCAATTTAAAAAAAAAAAAAAGTTTTAATTAATTCGGGGGAAAACAAACCACAGTAGTTTGTCTTGCACTGGATCCACACACAAAGCTGCGCACGCACACTTGTGGGCCTGACCCTGGTCCAGCACCCCAGACTCCTGTGGTCTTGGCTCTCCATGACTTAGGTGAAGGAAAGTGCCTGATTATTATAGTTATCTGAAAATAAAATTTAATTAACAATTTGTTAGGTAGCAAGGTTGTTTCTCTAGTCTTGGGGCAAGGCATTTCTGTTGTGATTGAGGTCAAAATTCTCCTTGACTTAAAAAAACCTTGCAGAAGCTCTTCAGAGTTTAGTAGGTTCATTTGTAGAGGAGTTTTAGCTAAGTGAACAGTAAGAAGCCGTTTGTTCTTTCATACATATTTGACAAATGAAGTAAGTATCAGGTATGACGAGGTCTGTCCAATGTGCGAAGACATCGTAGTTTTAAATTGGTATTTAACAATGACCCATGGCAATTACCAAAAGAGAGAAACCTTAATGAATTTTTCTCCTCAGGAACAGAATATTTTGATGGTCGGATATTGCTCCCTTAAGACACAGCTTACGATAGGAATCTCTTTTTATTTATTAACCTAAGTGACAGAATAAAGTTTACCAAATATCTGGAGTTAGCTAAACAAGACCCTGGTGGCGGCAGTGCTGAGGGCGGGCGGCGGTGCGTCCGGGCATGGTTTGGGTGGGGTCCGGGAGGGATTTGTGTGGGGGGGGCTGCGGGGGGGGAACAGATAATGGCTCCAGCCTTCGTCCTGCAAAGCTGCACGGCATGCTGCTTTCCTGCATTGCTTTTGCCCTGTCCTCTTTGCGGCAGTCTTGCTAATGAACTGAAAAGGAGGAGAAAGACATGGATGCAGGCCAGTTGCAAGTGTCCACGATGGAGCCATGACGTGCAATGATGCCACGTGGCTTCAAAGCCGGGGTTCGTGGCAATGCCAGGGTGAGCTGGTCTTGCATCTTCAAGGGAGCAAATGTGGAAGCCGCAGTGCTTTGAGCATACTTTCTTATCTCATTCTGAGGTGGTCACGGGCTGCTAAAAACAGCTGTGCAATATATTGAACAAAAGAGTCCCACAAACCTAGGGAAGATGTAGGGCTGCAAAGTTCAGCATTGCTCACGTAAGCCATGGTGACTTAGCAAGCAGTGTTCAAAGGACAGGGATCTGCCGATGCATCTGCTGCCCTGCACGCCATTGTATGCTCTCAGCCATCACAACCAGACCCTGCATCAACTGAGCTCCTGCATCTCTCTCCTTTTGTTTCCTTTCAAATATTCAGGCGGAATGTACTGAGCTTGTCATCGGGAATTGAAGACATTGGTATTATCAAGTGGGATCTAGCACTGTGTCTTCTGCTCGTCTGGGTGATATGTTTCTTCTGCATTTGGAAAGGAGTCAAATCCACTGGGAAAGTAAGTGCTCTTTGACCCTTTTGATAATCGGTGCAGTTAGTAGATGTTAGGAATATTACGTAATGCTGTTTTTAAAGATATTCACCATTTCCTTGAAAAATACATATTTTTGCACTGAATAAAAGAGGGACTTGGGTTCAACTGACTTCGGAAAGTCATTGCCAGTGCCCAAAATACCTGTGAGTCAAGTAGCCATTACTGGAATGGCATCAAGATGCAGATACAAGCACGGTTCGAGTACCACTTTGCCTCTCTGAGGACGAGCGTCCCACTGATGCATGTCATGAGCATGGAAGGCCTTAAGCTTGCGATGTGTGGTGCCTTGCACTCTCTGTCCGTGCTTTTGCACCAGCCAAGTTCACTCTCAGTGCCACGGGGTGGATGTTAACATAACTGTGGTAGGGATGTTTTAAGTCAGTGGAAACGGCTGGATGCGTAGCATTTTTGAAATGCCACTCACTTACAGAAGAGCTCTGTGCAGACATAGGAGACTAAACTCTAGGTACTCATTTAGAAGCGTTCTCCTTAACAGAGATCCTTGATAGTTTGTGTTTTTAGTCTCATCGTGTGCTTTTTAGAATCATGTTTTTCTCTAAAGGATAACAGTTAAATCATTCCTCAACCTCATCCTACTCCAGTGCAAGAAACAAATTACAGCAAATCTTGGTGAATCACGTAACAACATGAAGCATGATATTTTTGCCCCTTGCATACAGTTGTGGTTTTAAACCTAGTTTCATGAGAAAAGGCTTTTGAAGCCATTGCATATGTGTGGCTCTTGGCTTTCAAACCTGTTGGTTGAGGCAGCATTTCAAATAAATCTAACAGAGGTCCTGAGATAGTCAGTTCCCACACATTTCTTGTCAACTAGGTGGAAGGGAGCGACCCTGTTAGCATCCCACCTGAGAGAAAGGCCACAATGTGAACCCACCTTTTATCAGCCCCAAGAGAAGTCAGGAGGAGTGAGCAATTGCAAATGCCTCAGCTCTAGAAAAAGCATCATTTAGCAGTTTTACCTTGTTACACACTGCAGAATCAACCAGGAGACAAAACTCCATAGGAGCCCAGGCCTCATTAGTTCCACTGTTGACTAAACTACTTGCTTTACTGTTGTTTCTGTCTTGCTTGCTGTGATATTTATCATGGAGCCTCATTAAAATCATGCTGGTGCCTTACCCTGGATTTCTGCCAGCTTTGCCCCAAAGAATAGCTTCCACACCTCTAGAGCATACCTTGACAAAAATGTTTGCATCTCTGTTCCCTCTGATTGATGTGACCCGATGAGGTGATTGTGTAAGTTTTATAGTAAAGGTGAACGTAATAAATCTCCCGCAGTAGCTGAGTGGAAGCGCACTTTTCTGCAGTACCTTTGGCAAGCCTGGTGTCTGCTCGGTAAAGGTTACAGTAGCTGAGAGATTTTTCCAAGCTCCCTATGGTATACTATTTCAAGCCCCTGTGAAGGTAACAGGTTGAAAACAGGTCTGTTAAAATCAGTTATCTAAAAATTTGTGTTTTCTAGAAATCCAGCAAAATGGTCTCATTTCTAAGACAAGGCAGTTGGTAGGAATTTGCTGCTTCCTCTCTGCAGCATTTGAGCTCATGCGGGTGTGGAGCCAAAGCTCAACAAAACCATTGGAAAGTCTCTGGTTGACTCCATTAACTTTGGGGTCAAACAAAAGTAAACTGTAAGCTCTAATGGAGGACTTGAATTGTTTGAGAAGTCTAGTTTACTTTAGTAGATGGTTGTTTATAGCACTTCTCTGCTTTCCAGCGTGTTAATAGCTCTTCGGAGAGAGGGGGGGGAAAAAAAGTTTTTAAATCTCATAGTAGCGTATTGGACAAATAAACATGAAATCATGAGGAAAAATAATAGTTGTGCTTATGCTTTGGATAATGTGCTTGATCTTAAAAATTCCTCCAGGGTTACGAGAGAATCCTTACCTGCAGCGCAAAGGCCACTTTGATTTTTCATAGGCCTGGCTTATATTAAAAAAAATTAGAAAGCACAGAAACCCCCCTTTTATCCTTCAAGTTTTGGTGAAACAGGCTAATACGTAATATATATCGTCAGTGGAAAATATACATAAAATTCAAGGAGAGAATTAAAAAGGACGTGTATGGAAAGGTTTCCTTTCATTTTATGAAATCAGTCCAGCTCCATGAGTTATTATGGCAATGCAGGCTTTGAGTTTTGCTCGTTATTCTCAGAGGACACACTTAAGAAGAAAAATGGTGCATCCCGGGAGCTTTGCTGTAGTTAAACAAATTCTGGAAAACAAAAATATATTTTAACTCATGGCAGCAAACTGTAATTACCTGGGGGGGATCATGTGACTCCATGAAAAACGCCCTTTCTTGGTGGTGTGGTTTAGCCCCAGCCAGCAACTAAGCACCACGCAGCTGCTCGCTCACTCCCCCTACCCCGATGGGATGGGGGAGAGAATCAGAGGAGTAAGAGTGAGAAACACTCCTGGGTTGAGATAAGAACAGTTTAATAATTGAAATAAAGTAAAATAGTAATGATAAATAACAATATAATAATGAGAATAACAATAATAATATACAAAGCAAGTGATGCACAATGCAATTGCTCACCACCCGCTGACCGATACCCAGACAGTTCCCGAGCAGCAATCGCTGCTCCCCGGCCAACCCCCCCAGTTTATATACTGAGCATGACATCATATGGTATGGAATAGCCCTTTGGTCAGTTTGGATCAACTATTCTGGCTGTGCCCCCTCCCAGCTTCTTGTGCACCTGGCAGAGCATGGGAAGCTGAGAAGTCCTTGACTAGCATAAGCAGTACTCAGCAACAACTAAAAACATCAGTGTGTTATCAACATTCTTCTCCTACTAAATCCAAAACACAGCACTATGCCTGCTACTAGGAAGAAAATTAACTCTATCCCAGCCGAAACCAGGACACTTGGACAGTAGTGATTCTTGACTGTAACACAGCAGTTATATAAAAAATGAGAGAAAGCACTGATGAGCAAAGAAAACAAAATATTAGAGGTCAAAAAGTGTGGGTCTAAAGATAGAACTGTCCAAATGCAAGCTCAATTAACCCTCGTGCTGGAGATTAAAGCAAAGGGCTCTTTCATCAAATGAATGAGAAGATAACGAGAAGAAGTGGGCTGTTATTCAAAGAGACTGGGAATAGAGGTTAAAGATAATGAAGACGTATTCTCAGAAATGGTTGAATAGAGCCTTAGTTTCCAATAATGATGTTGCTGAATAGGCAGCAAGGGCAAGAATGAAGTTATGGGACTGGAAATGACCACTGTTGAGGCTGATGCCAACCTGAAGGGCTTCATGCGTTCAAGGTGATGGGAAGGGAGACACAGGAGCATGGACCAAATTATCTTAATCTCTGAAAAAAGTGCCTTGTGAAATTGCCTGTAGGAGCAGTAGTGAGGCTGCACAGCGAAGTTAGAGGTAGTAGCACAGCTTGCAAAACAGTTTGCAGTTTTAAGTTCAAATAAAGAATGAGGTAATGCTTTAGGCGCCCTCAGCAAGGGAATCTTTTCGGCTTCCCTGGCGAAGGTGTGCTTGTCATGTGATGAGGATAAACAGGGCAAAGGCAGAATTTCTAACAAAAGTCATGAGCTGTGTAAAATCCTGCGTGTTCTCTGCCTGAGTGACGTGACCACTGTCTGGGCGCTCTGGAGGGCTTAATGAACCTGCATTGCCTCCAGGCCTAAAGCAATAAGGTGGTAAAGACCGTTAAGCTACAAGTAGACACAGAAACTGCAGTCGGGTCCTTTTTAGGTATGAGGGGGCTTTGAATTCGTTAGATTTCTCTTGACGTACTTTTTTTTTTTTTTTTTTTTTTTTTTCGTTTTGCTTTTTTTTTTTTTTTTTTTTTTTTTGTTGCCAGGTAGTGTACATCACTGCCACATTCCCATTCATCATGCTCCTTGTTCTGCTCATCCGTGGTGTGACCCTGCCTGGAGCTGCAGAAGGCATCAAGTTTTATCTTTATCCTGATATCTCACGGTTAGCTGACCCACAGGTACAGAACAGAGTGGGGAGCGGGACGATTTCCTACACAAAGGGGGATGGTGGAGGGTGATGGTGGTGATGTAATGGCAATAGATTTTTTTCCCATGGTCTTTAGAGGTCCAAATGTAGTATGAACATTAATACTGGGTTATATTTTCCAGAGATCTGCTTGAGAAGGTCACTGTTACATGTGTTAATGCATCTTTCCATGTGTATGTATGTGCGTGTATGCGTGTGTATTTTTTTTGTGTCAAAGGACTCTGAGGCTGTAGACTCTGTCCCGTTATAGAATCTCAGCTTTCTTGTTGGTAAGGTAAGGGAGATGCATTTTTTTTATGAGGATAGTCTTTAGTTTCAAAGGAGAGACACGTGAGCTTCACAGATGGAACAACAAGCGACAACTGTGAGTACCAGTGTCACTAAGCTCCCACTGCTCAATAGGAGGCGATTGGGAGAGAGGTGAATGAAATAATAGAAGAATGAAAACCCAATGCAAAGGTGGAGAAAAATGCTTTCTGAAGCCCAGGAACTACCATTCACTTAGCCGTGGCTAGGGGAGCTAGGCTTGCTCTTTCTGTATAGGCTGTGATTAGACAAAGATTCCTGCCTGTGCTCACAGAGTGCAAATATGTGACACTTGAGCAGACCAGCATCGTTTCAGTCAATAGTGATCACGTGAGAAATGCAAAAAAAATGCAATACCCCCCCAGAAAAAATAAAACAAGGAATCTTTGAAAATAGCAACATGTTGGTCACAGTGAAAGGGAATAATGTCTGTCTTTGCTATTTCTTTCTAATGAGTATTCGGTTAAAAAAAACCCTCCAATGATAGCTAAATAACTGAAGTAGGAAAGGTGTAATTGAAAGAAACATTTTGGAAATTTGGTTCATTCTCTAGTTTTGCCCTCTTTATCCAAGACACCCTCTTGACAGGAGACATTATATTTTATGAATTAATCTTCTTTAATGGGAGTCTTATCATTTTTATGATCTACTATTAGCCCTAAGCCCAGAGCATCAGCCAGTAATGTAGAAGAGATTCATGCAAGCTGGCAGGCCCCCTCCCATGGTCTAGCAAAAGCGTCATCTCCAAGGAGACACCCGTCAGCAAGGTGCTGGAAAACGATGGTGGGAGGGAGGAGGTAACCAGTCTACAGTCTTACTTCTCACTCAGACTCCTTGGTGGTTTCTGCTGGTGTTAGCAGACTTGCATTAGCAGAAAGAAGTGAACAGGTGGGACTCAATGGATGCATTTTGATAGATTGCTATGTATTTACTAACTGAGAAGTTGATAGCGTACTGTTATTTCACTCTGTATACGTTTTTTTAATGTAATCAGGAGAAAGAATCACGAGACCGAGATCAGATCCATATCTTAAAAAGTGCATTGTATTTTGCTTGTTTTCCCCCCACCCTTATGGCTTTTTATCTTGCATTTGAACAGATACAAAAACAACCAGAAAGCTAGAAAAATAAGCAAACCAAATACACAAACCTGTTTCTCAAGCTTTTCACATCCTCAGTTTAGCGGCTCTGTAGGCTGAATCTACCTGAAATGAGTTACAACAGAAATGAGCAATGTTATAAATATTTCTGCATCTCCTACTGCACTGAAACACATTTATTGTTGCGCCAACAGGAAGGATCAGCTGAATGACTAAGAAACTAGAAATATTGAGCATCTCTGAGGAGAGGATACAGGAACTGTTGAAGAGATGATGTTCTTGTAGGCTCTGTCGCTAACAATTTTCTTTTCCCTATAAAACCCAGACTTGCAAATGTGATGTACTCTTTCCCTCCTTCCCAGATCCTTTAGCTATCACCCTCAATGGAAGCAATTATTTTGTTGATTTTGCATAGTTTGAACTGTGTGTTTGCATTGAGTGTTGCAATGCAACGATGCCGGTAATAACAGTCTTTCTGTCTTTCCCTTTAGGTCTGGATAGATGCAGGAACACAAATCTTCTTCTCATATGCAATCTGCTTAGGAGCAATGACTTCCCTGGGGAGCTACAACAAGTACAAATACAACTGCTATAGGCAAGTTTCCATCCAAGGGGGTTTAGTGTTTTAGCTAAATGATGTAAATAAAGTAGGGACAATGGGTTAATTTTTTTTTAATTAACTTGCTCCATGACATATGTGTGACTTAGGGACTGTTTGCTGCTGGGATGCCTGAACAGTGGTACCAGTTTTGTGTCTGGCTTCGCAATTTTTTCCGTCCTGGGCTTCATGGCACAAGAGCAAGGGGTGAACATTGCTGATGTGGCAGAGTCAGGTACGATGGTATTGGTGGCAGTGGTGGTGGGCACTGCCGCCTAGCGTGTGAGCAAAGTTCTGCAGACTCAATCAGCTAACATCTAAGCAATACAAACAGAACAAGATTTCCCATAATCTCCAGAAAAATAAGCACATTGTTGATTTGGGCTTTCATCTAGAGCAGTGAGGGTTAGCCGGGGTTGTGTTGTTTACTCTGTCTTGATTAACATGGCAGCGAACACATTTCCTAGAGTGTGCTGGTCCATTTGAGTTGAGATTAGAGTTAAGATAACCACTCCATTATCTAGGGTCCAGAATGTCATTGATTCAAAAATTTATTCCATCCTTCTTTTCAGACTACCTTTATTTTCATTCAAATGCAAATAGCCAGTATTTATGTATTTTTCATAGCTTAGTTTTGCTTGCTCACAGTGGAGTGCTGCAGTGGGAATATTACCTTGGCCTTTGAAGGGACATACATGCATATATTCCCAAGTCTCACTGAAAGGCAAGTTGGAGTTGGAGAACTCCATCTCCTGGGTTCTGTGCACCATTTCATCCACAGAAACTGTAGGTGTTGCAGTCCTGCGTTAGTCCTCTGTAGCTTCAGGGTGAGGTTGACAGAACTGCGAGAAGTCCATTTTGAAACTGGATATACACTTAGGTTCCTCCCTTGTTTCAGAAACGTTCTTCCCATTAACGTTCAGCTACGCACTTGCAGCTGAAGAAGGCTAAATCCTCATAGCATGTGAATGTATCTCAGACAAAACAGATGACCTTTTTTTCCTCTGTGCATGTCTTGTCCATGAGGACAGGTGTAACCATGTGTTTTCACGTAGAACAGACAGATTAGATGGGAATTACCATTCAAAAATAATGAGTCAGGCCTCAACAGCCATGAGGCTTAAAGCTGATCAGATTCAAGTAATAACAGTGTCACCTGAGTGCACTTTTGGCATTTCTTTTTGATTTTTTTGAGCAATTCTAATTCAGCTGCACAATATTTGAAAGCTTTCCTCTGCAAACGTGCTATTAAAAGAAAAAGTCAATATTCTGATCACATGGCTCTGGGAGTTAAGTCTTTAAGAAAAATTTCTCACTTCACAAGGGCTAATGAAAAACTAACAACTTTGGTGGCACCACTGGGATTCTTAGGTGGCTGCGATTGGCATGTCTGTCGCAAGTGTAATTAGTTAACAGTCTTGGCCATAATGCTTGTTTTGGTCAGAGGTTGATTGCTTGCTTTGAAAACAGGAAGCAAGGGAATAATCCATTGAATGAATCATAAATAGCCCCCTTTTTTTTTAATATGTAGGTGGATCAGTTCCAAGAGTAGTATTTTTAAGAATTTCCACATTAGGTTTTTATCTTAGCAATATTTATTCTAATTTTTATTATTAAATCTCTGATAAACAGGCAGCTATATTCCTGTTGCTTGACCTTTTTAGAATTAAACAATTTTATAGTAACACTGGATTGTTAAGTAATGTTTAAATACAAATTAACTAACAGGCTTAATGTTTACGTAGCATTTTTTCATCAACAGCTCAAAAAGCATTTTTTTAAAGGAGGAATTTTATAGCTTATTATAGGGACAACGAGGGCACTGATTGGCTTCCAAACTTGTTTTTTTGGGTTTCTTGCATATTTTGTTGTCGATTCCTTCAGGTTTCCTACATTATTTAAATTCAGCCCTAGTCACTAACGGCCAGAGATTGCAACCATCTCACTGTTCAGTGGGTTGCCCGTCATCACTGGCTGGTCTTTGGGTACGTCCGAAGGGACATTTTTACATGACAGTAAACATTACCAAAAATTATCTAAAATTACCCAAACCACTTCCCATGGGTTTCCTCACTGCCTTTCTCAGCAGAGATCAAGCACAGAGCCACTGGAGACCGCTTGGTCCCCCTGGGATGAGCGTCCCAGGACCCCCATGAAGCCATGGGGGAGGCTCTCGATGCCACCGCTGCCCTGCTGCTGCCTTCTCAGCACAGAGGCATTCAGCAGGTGCTTGAGCCTTTTTTTTTTTTTGGCCTTGCCTTTTTTGGTTCCTTATGACGCAAGGTCAGAACAGCTCCCCTGGCGCAGGAAGAAGGTGGACAGAGGCGCTGCTGCTTGGCCGTAGCACCAGGGAGAGGATGTTGTCCACAGGGCCAAGACCTCCTGCTCCCCCCCCCGTCTCTGCCCAGCGCGTTAAGTCCCTCCTGACCTATGCGTGACACCATTTGTTTCCTTGTTTGCCCTCGTGAAGGCCAGGGGGACGTCAACAAATTTGCTGACAGCAGAATGTCATGGCCACATTTTTTTACCTGTGCCAAATTCAGCCGTGGTGCAGTGTTCCTGGGACATCCTTGTCAGCGAGGGGTGGCTCCCGCTTCGAGCACTGGTCACCGCTGCCGGCCTTCACTGGCTTAGACTTACGCAGCAGTTACATTAGACCCCTTTGACTTCCCAGTGAAAGGAGACTTTTAATAAATGGCACTTGATTTTTTTTCAGAAATACTTTTAAAGGGAGAGAGGAAAGCAGTGGAGGCTCAACAAAGCCATAGTGAGTCCTGTCTAATCTGTGCTGCATCTCTGGCTGGAAGAAATACATGACCGCCTGTGCAATTTGTAGCAGTGTTAAAACAGCACAAGATCTGCCTTTTTTTTTTAAGTCCAATTGCAAACAAATTCAGATTAAGCAGGCCTGACTATAGTGCCTTGTCCTTCCTAATGCCTGCCCGGCCTCTGCCTCAGCAGTGCTCTGCTCCCGGGGCACATCTCCAGCCACGCCACAGCACTTCGCCGGCAAGCGGCCAGCGAGTGGGCTGGGATTGTGGCAGTCCTAATTAGCTCTTAGTAGCAGCCACAAGTGCTTCACTTTTGCAAAACACCCTTCAGAGCAACAGAGTTTCAAATTAAATACGATTTTAGATTATTTATGTTCAGCTGAGGGTATGCCAGGAACATTTTCTTCCACGTGGGCTTTTCTCTTTATATTTCAACACTTAGTTTCAAAGGGAAATCAAAGCTAGCACAGGGCTTAGGGCACTTGGTATTAGACTGTATCAGAGTGCAAGGACAGTTTCACTAGCCAAAGCTTACAGAATTGCAGCAAGTTTTGAGGAGAGCAGTTTTACATCTGTCTCATCAATTGCACAGATCAGCTGCAAATGCCATCTGGTAGCAGTTCTCCCTCAGGGAGGTTCTACTATATCTGCTGAATTAGGGGGCAAAAAGCAAAGCCCCCCCAAAATTTGAGACATTCACCAATTTTTTTGGTATCTTTGTCATATAAAATCTTAGTTGTGTTTCATTTTAAATAAAATTAGTTGCTCAATTGTTGGCTAATTTGTATTTATTTGTGTTCAAATATTTTCAGTGACTTAAAGTTTTCTTTAGTTTGAAAAAAGTAATCTTTTTTTACCTCTTTCTCTTGCTTCTTTTTCCATCTTTCTTGTTGGGAAGGAAAAGTGGGAGGTAGGAAGAGCAGTGTTAGAGATTTTTCTGTACAGATCAGAGATAAGATTTCTGTCCCTGCACTGCAGCAGTTTAAAAAAAAATCCTTTTCCTATTGCAAATTACTTGAATCCACTTCAAAATCCTGGAAAATGCTGATTTTTGAGGCTCCTTAAAAAGAAACAAGCAGATGAGCCAGGCATTCCCAGGTTTAATCTGAATTTAAATCTGCCCTCAGAATTTTTTGTCAGCTTCACAAAATTTCTATGGCCACTTTGAGAGCCTGCTGTAAATGCTGGATTGTCAGTGTTCCTGTCTCCCACTTGGAGAGGGCTCTTTCTCTCTCAACAAAAGCTCTCATAAGCGATAGCTGATAGCACCTGGCTCCAGGTGAGAGCACCTTTGGAGATCAGCATGCGAGGGCACTGCACGTATGCTCGGTGTGTGGGTATGAGTGAGATGCCGTCTGATCCACGGCGTAGACGAGACCCAGTCTAGTGATGAGCCCTTGCAAACAAGGCTTTGGTTTCCAGAGTAGAGAAGCCGGGCTCTTAGTCCCAGCCCCCCTGGTGCTCCCAGACTGTTGCAATCCATCCTGCAGTTGGGGCTGATGTTGGTCATATTAGCGTCACTGTGGCAGGTCTGCCTAGGCTGGCTGGATAGGGACAGGTGATGTGCCAGCGTGGGGAGGTGATTTTACACACCAGCAACTCCTAACAGCAGGAAGCATTTTTTTTTCAGGGACCACAGCTGATATAACTAGGAGTAGCCTGATCATTTCAGTGCAGCAGTGAGGGTTTGCAGAAGCAAAGGAGCAGACTCCTGGAGTGCAAACCCCGCTCTAGAGAAGCCATGCTGGGTTTGGAGGTTGCATACAGAGGGAGGCGGTGGTTGCATTAGAAAAGATCCTGGGGATTGTTTGGAGCAGAGTCCCTTCCCTGCATGCAAAAGAGTTTCATCATCATCATCTTCATCGTGACCATGTGGGCTAGCAGTGGGATTCTGTCATTCCCCTGGGTCACCCCTTCTCCCCCAAGCCCCCATACTGTTCTGTGTCCGAGCGGGGCAGGTGTAGGACCACCTCCATTATTGGCATGTTTGAGACAGATGTTAAAACTGGTGATCTGTTAGCAATGGCCTCGGGGGTCTGCCTGTGGTTTCTGCTGTAGTCATGCGTGCTTCGATTTCAGATAAAAGAGCCAAACTGTTTCACTTCTGGTATTTCCAGCCGCGTTTGGATTTATC